GGGCAATCCACTTCCTTAGAGATACCACCTCGGAAACCCAAGAAGGGGTTGCTATGAGTCAGATTTGACTCAATAGCAGTGAGGTTTTTTTTTTTGTTTGTTTTGTTTTTAAATCTGTTTTTATAACATCTTAAATGACTACCCTTCTTTGTGACAAGCATTCAGTATGAAATGCCAAGTCTCCTCCCTGCCCATTTCTCCACATAACACTGAACAGATGAACACCCAGTGGCCATGAGTTGATCAGGTTCACGATTTCCCTTTCCTTCAATGCTGAATAAAGATTGTGAGATGTGTTGTAAACTGTCCACTGTTCTCTGTGAATAAAGTATGTAGTCCAGCCCCATTAGGCCAGTGGCCCATCAGTCCTTTTCCATAGTTCACAGGATAGACACTAATGATAAATAACTAAACAAATCTTATTTTCTGTTGCTCAGATTTTCAGCAATAAACAAAAATTCAACGAATACTTCCCCCTTATATATGCACAAAAGCCAAAGCTGATTCAGACTTTGCATATCAGTGACTTAATCCAGCTGCAAAGTGATATATATGTTCACTGTCCCACACTCAAGATTTAACCACTACTATTCCTCTGTTAGGAGCTCTGGTAGCATAGTGCCTAAGGCACTTGACTGCTAACCAGAAGGCTGGCGGTTCAACCCACCAGCCACTCCTCGGAAGGAAGGTTGGACATTCCTACTTCCGTAGTGATACTGCCTTGGAAACCCAAGGAGGGGTCGCTATGAATCGGGGCCGACTCGATGGCAAATAACAACAACAACAACAACATTCCTCTGTATGGGAGCTCTGGTAGCATAGTGCCTAAGGCACTTGACTGCTAACCAGAAGGCTGGCGGTTTAAACCCACCAGCCACTCCTCGGAAGGAAGGTTGGGCAATCTACTTCCATAGTGATACTGCTTCGGAAACCCAAGGAGGGGTAGCTATGAGTCAGGTCTGGCTTGACAGCACATAACAACAACAACAACAACAACAATTCCTCTGTATACCTTTGACATCATACAATGTCCAAGTTGTTCCTTGAAAAAGGAGTTTTTTCACAGCTTATTTTTCAAGCATACTGCCGGGTGCCATTTCCTTCCTGGCTGGCAGAGCTAAAATTCTGAAGCAGATACTCACTTTCTCGGTACTCCATGCAGTCAGAACACGGAATTTGATTCAATCCTGGTCAATGAGATCTAAGAGAGAATCTGAGGATTTTTAGAAAAGATTTACTTCCTGATAATAAGAGATATGAGGAGACACTGGCCTTCCTGCCTTTGGGTACAGTTATCTGAGGACATAATGCCCAGAGAAGCCATCTTGTAACAATTAGTGAATGGTCTAAGGACATAAGCCACTTAAGGATGGCCAAATGGAAAGCTGGAAAGAAACTTCATCTTCATGTCTTTGTTCAGCCACTGAATTAACCAACAGACTTTATCTGGACCTCTTGTGGTGTGAATGTCCTTATGTGCCCTTAAGCCATGTTTGTTGTCTCCTGTTACTTGCAGCCAAAAGCAACCTTCTGATACAGGGATTAACATCACTGTTGGTTTTACAAGCTTCTTGGAAATTATGTGATTTGTACCCACTTTTTCTATAAAAGTAGCATTGATTTATGCTACTATAGTTTTGTTATTTCCTCTATATTCAGTGATAAAATTAATCAATTTTGGATGATAAAGAATTGCAGTTATTCTAAGGAATCTCTATTGCTTTTCCTGAGAGGACTTGGTGCTTTGTTTGAAAATGACAAAAACCAAAATTTTGAGGGCAAATTTTCATCATGGACCACAGCTTAGGAACAAAGAGAGAGCTGACTCAATAAAATCCAGTTTTCAGGGGTAATATTTTCTAGACATATTTTAAGTCTCTGGTTCATGGTCACTCGTCCCAACATTCATATATTCCTATGTTACATATGCCCTGGCATCTCATTCAGTATTTATTTTGATGACATTATTGTAAGTTGCAGCAATGAGTTTATTTTAATCACAACTTTCATGACTCCATGAATTCTTTTTGAGCCATCGATACATTTTTTGTGGTTTGTAGATATAATGCAATACCATAGCAACACTAAAAATGCAAATTTAGTAAATGAAAACTGTTACATACAAAAGAAAGTTATGTGAAGATAACACCTTCTTGCTTGAAGGTTAGACAAGATCCTGTTGTCATCCTTGTAACCCATGTGCAGCCTTGAAGGACACAGTGACTAAAGATGTAGCAGGGCGTCTGTGAAAATCATGTCTCAAAAGTGTGAGATGTATGGAGATTAAAATTGTTTCTTGCTTTTTTTCCCCTAAAAAACCTGAGTAGAACCCCTGAGACCACCAGTGGTTCATGAAACACATTTTGAAAAACACCACTCTGGGACTGGATTCTCATTAAAGTTTTTTATCATCTGAGGCCTCACCGAGGGGTATTGCGTAATAATTGGTCCTCCTGGGGACTTAAGAGTTTCAAAATCCAAAGGGCAAATGGGTGAAGGAGGAAATATCTTTCAGCTTTCCTTTTCCCTCAAGTCACATGACCAAGTGCTTCACCCTTCCATTTTCCCAAGTTCTTTGATAGTGGCACCAAAAGTGGGACCACTCCAGGACAGGCAATAGCTGGCCATGCGCTGAGCCCCAGCTGAGTGCCAGGCACCATTATGAGCTTTATGTTGGGGTAAGTGGCCACGTTACTGGATACAACAGGTCCCTGACATGGGACTCTAATGTGCTCTCCAATCACTATTCATATGCAACTAGTGTTTCCTTGAACACATCTCAGTATTTTTAAGAAACACTTGTGTTTGGTTTACTCAATGATCTCTCCAACTGGGAGAAGAGCCATTGAGGGCTACCCCTTCTCTATCCTAGTGTTCCCACAGCCCCATAAGCCCCATTAGCTTCCACAGCCCTGAGAGTGAAGTGACTAGATTAAGGGTCAGGTTACCCTCAACATAGGGACGTTAATGACACCCATGAGGATTAACGGTCTTGTTCGGGCCCCAGGTCTCAGGACTGGCCAGGGTCCACTACTATGGTAAGGGGAGGCTAAGGTCATTGCCCAGGTCTCAAACCCATGTAAGACCTCATTTAGACCTTTTGACTATTTCCCAATAAAGTTACACACATTACTTGTGTGTGTAAATTTGTTAACACAAGCATTTAAAATACATATTTTTTGTAATCATCTTCTGACATTCTTTCATTGTTTTAATATATTTGGATCCTCAAAGAAAGAAAGTGGCCTTGGTGTCTTTTGAACTCTGAGAGGCCCTGGAACTGACTGAGCTGCAGTGGCATTGGCACAATGCCACTGATGAGAGGACACTCCTCCCTGCCAGTCAGCAATGCTGACCAATGTCCGGAGCCAGGTATATGAGTTCTAGTGTGCGGACAGTTCGTTCCCAATTCAGTTTGGGAAATCTGGGCTGAGATTACCATAATGAAGCTAAGACTGTATTTTAGTGGAAACAAGGTGTGTTAGATTGGGTTCTCTAGAGAAACACAAAAAACAGCAAAGTATATATATATATATATTTACAGAGCAAGAGAGAGAGAAATTTATCTTAGGAAAATGGCTCACAAACGTATAGAAGCCGGCAAGTCCAAGTCTCTGGAGGAAACGGGCTGGTGGCAGCCCTAGCTTCCGTAAGCACAGGAAGCCAAGAGATTCAAGGCTGGCAGGCAGTACACTCGTTGTTGACTCCAACGAAAGATGAATCCAAGAGCTCCAGGCCGAGCAGTGGGCTGCTCACTCCTGGAAGTTTGTAGTCAGCACACCAGGGTTCCAATCCCTCAAAGAATGTGTCTCTTCCCAGGATGTCCCTGGATATCTTGGAAGCAGGCCACACCCCTAGGGAAACTCCCCTTGGGCAGACTGGCCACTCAGAACACAGTCATCTGATCCCATCATGGGAACAACCACCGAGAACTGGGGTCCAGCCAAGTTGACACACAGCTCCAACTATCACACAAGGGTAAAAGGGAAGCCGAGCATAAATTGGACTCCTCATATCAGGCTGGGGGGTTCAGACATTCTCCTGAAAGCAACAGGGAGCCACTGCAAATGGGTGATGGTGAGTGGTTTGCTCAGTACTGTATTTTATAAACATCACCAATGACTAGTACAAAAACGGAGACTAGAGTCTGAAGCAGGAGCTCTGGTAGTGTAGTGCCTAAGGCATCTGACTGCTAACCAGAAAGCTGGCAGTTCAAACCCACCAGCCACTCCTCAGAAGGAAGGTTGGGCAATCTACTTCTGTAGTAATACTACCTCAGAAACTCAAGGAGGAGTCACTATGAGTCAGGTTCAACTCAATGGCAAACAACAACAACAGAGTCTGAGGCCACTATCTATGTGATTTTTTTTTTTTTTTAATTTATTGTGATTTGGGTGAAAGTTTACAGAGCAAATTCATTTTCCATTCAACAGTTCATACACATTTTATTTCATGAGAGTGACTACAATCCCCACAGCATAATAGCTCTCTTCTTACTTTCTCTCTGTAGTTACCTCTTCCCGGTATTCTTCTTTGCTATGTATTCCTGTCCCCTAAGCTATCTCCCTGTACAAATACTGCCCTTCTGTTCTCCCACTGTTGATTGTTCTAAGGAGTGTATCTACCTAGCATAAACGTTCACCCCATATGCCTGTCTATTGTTTTATCCATGTAATTCTAGGGAGAAATTCCAAGCCAAGATCCCTGGAGGGGGCACAGCAGAGACCCTGTGGTGGGAGTTTCCAGTAAGAACTTAGACAAGACAAATGGCTCTTCCCAGGCAAGATTTCTAAAGGAGAAAGCAGCCTGATCCCAATCTCTCTCATGGGGAATATTTCTTCCCATTTGAGCCTGGCTGAGGTAAGTAAGAAGACTGGAAAATCTCTGAGGTGAGAGCAGGTCCAAAGGAGAACAGGAGGTAGGAGTGAGAGTTGCTTATTGGGCAACTAGGGAGTCTGATGTCCCACTTTCTGGGCCAGTCCCTCCATTGGCTTCTGCCATCATTTCCTATTCTGGTGCTTGAAGAAGCCAACCTGTAGGGGGAGAAAGAAGAAGGTCAGGAAGTCTAGTGGAAGAGAGGATAAGGGATGATTATGGATGACTACCATTTCCGGGCCCCCTACTATGTTCAACACACTGTGGTAGAAACTTTATACACATTATGTCATTTAGACTTTACCACAATTCTGGGAGTTGGTTAGGATTACCTCCAGATTAAGAATCCAAGACTCAGAGTGGACCAAACACTTGCCTATGGTCACAGAAAGAATTAATGGTGGTATCAACATTCAAACCCAGGTCTGTGTTTTTGTATTATAATCTGTTATCGAAGGAAATAAAGAGATGGAGAAAAATGGCAAAGAAAGGGAGAGAAATTACAGGAAATCTGAGAATTGGATCAAACTCACTGTCATGGAGTTGATTTTGACTCATAGTGCCCCCCATAGGATTTCGAAGGCTGTAAATCTTTACAGAAGCAGACTGCCTCATCTTTCTCTGCACGTTGGTTAGTGGATTTGAAACACCAACCTTTTGGTTAGCAGCCCAATGCCTTAACCACAATGCCACCAGAGTTCCTTTGAGAACTGGATGTTGTTGCTATGTGCCTTCGAGTCAGACCTGACTCATAACTACCCCTCCTTGGGTTTCCGAGGAAGTATCACTACGAAAGATTGCCCAACCTTCCTTCCAAGGAGTGGCTAGTGGGTTTGAACCACCAGCCTTCTGGTTAGCAGGTAAGTGCCTTAGGCACTACGCTACCAGAGCTCCTTGAGAACTGGATAGGAAGGTACAAATGTGGGAAAGAATTAGGCAATGATGGTGTCATAGGTGGGAGGGGATCTTTCACAATAAGTAACCTAGCAAGGATTGCACCCAGTCTTGCCTGACTCCAAGGTGAGCTTGTTTCTACCATGGAAAGAGTGGGATCAGATGCTGGTGGTGTCAAGAGTGGAATAAAAAAACATTCACCTTGTACCGTGTGCCATAATGAGAGCCAATAGCAGCAGACCTCTCAGGGGGCTGCACCCGAAGAGGGACATAGGTTTATAGACTTCATCCTTCCCTGGTACTGTCTCCACTTGGAGTGGAGATGACCTCATCAGAAAGTTATCAGGCCTCTTGTTATCCCAGATCCTCTATGCACCCACAATGAGTACCTTCCCTCTGCCAACCCCCAGTTAGTTCCTCTCCTTTCACAGCTCTTCTTCAAAGAGTAAGATGCAAAAGCAACCATAGACTCAAGGTGTTCGTCTTCCTCCCTCCAGGCCTGCAAACCCTTGCCTAGCATTACAGACTTAGTATCATGATCTCTTTCACCAGCCTGGCCACTGCCTACCACACAGTTAATATCTGGGCTCTCATAATGCCTCCTGTCCTGTTGTTGTTGTTATGTGCCGTCGAGTCGGACCCAACTCATTGAGACCCCTCCTTGGGTTTCTGAAGCGGTATCACTATGGAAGTAGATTGCCCAACCTTCTTTCTGAGGAGTGGCTGGTGGGTTTGAACCACCAGCTTTCTGGTTAGCAGTCAAGTGCCTTAGGCACTGAGCCACCAGAGCTCCTTCTCCTGTCCTGGAAGCTGGGAATACATGGATCTGTTGAATGTGATGTCAGCCATGCTCACAACCAATACTTTCTTCTGCAGTGTCTGAGAAAGAGAGGAGGAAAGCTTGAGAACTGGCTTGAAAAATGCCCTCACTCTAGGGCATCAGGTACCACAAAAATCTGAGGAGGGGCTCTGCTGTTTGGTGTTACACTCCTGGCTGACCCAGCCAAAGCTGAAGTTCGTCCTTCAGGATGAAGTTAATTGATTCTTGAAGGTGAAAGGAGGGGATGTCACAGTAGAACCTCAGGCAGATGGCAACAGAGCAGTCCTAAGGGGTAGAGAAGCAACATCAGTCTGGAGAAAGATGGACTTGAGGGTAGATGACAACATTAAACTATTTGACTTGAAGGGAGCAGCCACATCTGAATACAAGAGGGCCATTCAGCAGGTGCCTATCTAAATGCAACATAAATTCATTCATTAAATTCCTCTGGTGTATGGCTTAGAGTGGAGTCCAGCCCAGATGTATTCTCAGCAGCACAGAACTCTTCTGAATATTGGTTAGGAAGTCAGATTCTGTTTTTCCCAAAGAGCACTGAATACATGGATTCTAAAAGGAGACAAAGAAGGAGCATCTCAGTGAGGTGTTGGGGATTCATGAGGGACACAGGGAATTCAGATAAAGAGCATTAGTGGAGGAGCCATATACAATCCTCAATACATAGGGAGGAAGGACCTCCATCCCTGCCCCAACAGCTCACAGGCACCCTGAAGTTGATGCTGACAGGCAGGTCCTTCAGTCCCAAGCTGTTCACCTAAACAGAAAGAACTGAGGGCGAAGCCAGACTCCACACTTCTCCCCAGTCTCCATACCTACCCTAGCCCAAGCTCCTGGGTCTCCACCACTTGCCTGGTTTCTATGCTTGGCCACACTGCTTTCCTCCTCCTCTGAGGCTGAGAAGCTGAGGCACTTGGTGGGTTGCTCATGGCTGTGGAAAGAGGAGGCATGGAAAGATCTGAAGTTCTGCAGGGGCCCCCTGAGGAGGTTCCGGTTGACAGCAGGATGGGACAGGTGATCAGTGGGGCTCTGGCGGCATAGCGCCTAAGGCATTTGACTGCTAACCAGGAGGCTGGCAGTTCAAACCCACCAGCTACTCCTCGGAAGGAAGATCGGGAAATCTACTTCAGTAGGGATACCACTTTGGAAACCCAAGAAGGGGTCGCTATGAGTCGGATTTGACTCAACAGCAGAGAGTTTGGCTTTTTGTTTGGTTTAGGGAGCAGAAATGAACTTCAAGCTGGGTGCAAGGCGCTCCAGAAGCTGCCCACAGAGGAGACTGCCAAGGAGGCTGGGCAGTGGGTGCAGGAGAAGGAGCTGAGACTATGCCACTAACTCACTGGCAGGCTCCTCCTTGCACCTCAGTTTTCTTTTCTGGTCTTCATGGGCATATAGGATGATGGGTAGGCAGGTAGGACACAGCAAAGTGTTGGTAATACTCAAGCTGCTGCTGTTGACCGGATGCCTATCAGACACTGCCCCTTTCTGATCTCCCACAGGCCTTCTCTAGGGGTCCTTCTCCCTGTTTCCTTGGCTTTTCTGGGCCTGGGGCTTGGAGGTGAGGAAAGGGTCAAAAGCAGATTCTTCACTGGGGCCTCAGTTTAACAACATCTCCTCAGGCTTGCTCTGGCCTGAGACCCAGTGACCAGCCTGGCTCCACACATGGGTGGCCGGTCTTACCTCTGCCCCTCCTTTTCTGACTCTCTGGGCACTTCTTTGCCTGCACAATCCAAATTTCAGCCCACCACATCCTACTCTGAAGTCTCTTCCTTCCTCTGCTAAGAGACTCCCTACAAAATGCCAGAGCCTTACCCTGGGGGGGAGGGCCTCTGAGTGCCCCCATCCACAGAGCCACACCTGCAGAGTGCAGCTGAGCTTCAGGGAAACTCATGTCTGGACAGGTGTGCCCTGCCTGTGGGTCCCTGGCAAAGACATGTGCAAACCCCAAGACACAGGGTAGCAAGCAGCTCAGAGCATACATCTGGCTGGGCTTCTGAGAGCTCTCGCAGTGTGAAACTCTGGGCAGGAGGAGAACATTCAACGAGGTGTGTGAGTGGAACTGGCAGAGGAGTGTCGCCAGGGTAAGTCACACAGACTCATGATACATGTATCACAAATACAAGTGCCACAGGGTAGGGATTTATGTCTACTTTCTGATTACCCATGATAGGGGCTCAATAAGTCTTCACTGAATGTTGAATGAATTTATGGAAAGTAACCACAGCACTATGCCTGGCACACAGCAAATACTAGGGAAGTATTTGTTAATGTTACTCTTGATCAAACACTTGACTCGAGATGGCTCCTTGGTGCCAAACACCTCAAGTCTAATCCTCCTCAGGCAACATTTTAAGATCCTATATTATGCCCTTATATAATACATAATTATATATACTTTGAAGATATGTAAGTATACATTATGCATTATATATAGGTGTGTCTAAACCCAGGCACATGGGAACTCTGGTAGCATAGTGGCTAAGGCACTTGACTGTTAACCAGAAGGCTGGTGGTTCAAACCCACCAGCCACTCCTCGGAAGGAAGATGGGGCAATCTACTTCTGTAGTGATACTGCCTGGGAAACCCAAGGAGGGGTCGCTATGAGTCGGGTCTGACTCGATGGCACATAACAACAACAACAAAAACCCAGGCACAGTATTTTCAAACACCTCATATGCATGTGAAAACTGGACAATGAATAAGGAAGACCGAAGAAGAAATGATGCCTTTGAACTGTGGTGTTGGTGAGAAGTACTGAAAATACCATACACCGCCACAAGAATGAATTAATCTGTCCCAGAAGAAGTGCAGCATGAATGCCTCTTAGAAGAGAGAACGGGCAGGCTGTGTCTCACCTGCTTTGGTCACATGTTGTCAGAAGGGACCATTCCCTGGAGAAGGATGCCATGCATGGTAAAGTGGAGGGTCAGAGTGAAAGGGGAAGATACCTCAACAGACAGATGGTCACAGTGGCTGAAACAGTGGGCTCAGGTATAGCAAGAACTGTGAGAATGGTGCAGGACTCATAGTGCCTCTCATTGGGCACTATGAGTCAGATCCAACTCGAAAGCACCGAGCAACAAACAGTATGCTAGGTCCTATACTGGGGCTGGGGAGCTCTGGTGGCGTAGTGCCTAAGGCATTTGACTGCTAAACAGAAGTCTGGCAGTTCAAACCCACTAGCCACTCCTCAGAAGGAAGATTGGGCAATATACTTCTGTAGAGATACCACCTTGGAAACCCAAAGAGGGGTCGCTATGAATCCAATGGACTCCACGGCAGTGAGTTTGGTTTGTTTGGTTATACTGGAGCTGAGGCCACAGGGAGGACCAGAATGTGCTCCTGTGTCTTTCTCTGCCCCACTGCCAACCTCAGAATTACCTTCATCCATGTCAGTCTTTCCCCAGGATCCCCAGGACCCTCACTGGGAGGAACAACCTTCACAGTCTTACAATACTGACCCAGCTCAAGTACTTGGACTCAAGTCAGATTCCAAGTCTTTGTTTCACTGAAGATGGCACAGGGACTCAGGCAGCCAGGTTTGAGGGTCAGGTCAAAGGTCACAGAGCTCTTGAGGTCACCTGTAGGAGAAACAGGGGATGGAGAGGGATGATGAGAGAGCCAGGAGTTCCTCAGGTGGGCACTGAGTAAGGCGGGAGACAGAAGTCCTGGCCTGGGAGCCTGAGAGGGATCAGGGTGTCCTGAGTCAAAAAGGAAAGGACTCATCAAGCTGGGACTTGGGTAATTATGAAGGTAGATTTTAGCATCACCCAGTTCCTGGACAAAGGCCACCTGCTCTGGACACTCAAACACAGACCTCACAGTTTCTGCAGGTGTGAAGCTCATGTTACCCACATCCTGAGCACAGGCCTGGCGCTGTGGGCAGGACACTGAGCTGAGGACAGGTTTTTGTCACCTGGGACAGAGAGAAGTGAAGACAATTAGGTTATGAAAACCTCCATTAATCATAGAGATGGGACCTAAGGTCACTTGGGGCAATAAACAAGTCATAACTAGTCAGCTAGAAAGGAAACCACCCCCTCCTCCGCCCCATTCCTTGCTGACCCTCCAGCTTACAGATGTTTTCCAGCCATACACTCTAAGCCAGTCCCAGCCAGATCCAGGAGCACAGCAAAAAGGACAACTCTGCCCTTTAGCTGAACCTGGGACGTTAAGACTCATGTCAACATCTTCCCACTTCCACCCTACGCTTACTGTTTCCCTTCAACCTTCTTTCCTATCTCTTTTTCCCTTCTTAGTTTCGTCCCTCAACAAACACTGCCCTTTTGATCTTGTATGATCTTGATTTTTCTAATGAAGGCATCTCTTCCTGGTGTTATTGTTCACAACATAGGCCTGTCTATCTTTTGGCTGAAAGTTGAGCCACAAGGGAGAGTTCAGATCACAGCTTGAAGGGTATCTAAGGGCTATAGTCTCAGAGGTTCCATCAGTCTCCATCAAACCAGTAGGTCTGATCCTTTTTTTATGATTTTGAGTTTTGTTCCACATTTTCCTCCCACTCTATCTGAAGTCTCCTAGTGTGATCCCTCTCAGAGTGGTCAATGGTGGCAGTCAGGCACTGACAGAAAGTCAGTCTTTCTGTTGCAGGGTAGTGAAGGCTGGGGTTCACACAGTCCATTAGTCCTTTGAACTATTCCCTTGCATCTTTGATTTTCTTTAATTTTCCTTGCTCCAGACAGGGAGACAACAAAAGTTGCTCCTTAGATGGTCGTTCACAAGCTTTAACACTCCAGTTGCCGCTCACCAAGGTAGGATGCAGAACATTGTCTCTGTGGACTATGTTATGCTAATTGACCTTAGTGTTCCCTGAAGCTATGATCCTGAGCTCCCATGGCCAATGACTCATTTCCTCAAGATGTTTGGTTATACATGAAACAAATCCAAAAACTCAATAATGACCAGAATTACTGGTCAGATGAAGTCTGGTGAGAGAATCACAATACTATGGCCCTGAAATACATTCGGTACCTGGAATAAAACACACACCCAGGGGTGGGCTCTCAGCCCAATAGTTAACAAGATGTACATGCAGACCACTCAACCCAAGATGCCGCACCCACACATTCAATGATAATACATCCCTTAGAGCAATAGCCCATGGGACACCAAAGGACCAACATTCAAACTGAGGAAATGCAGGACAAATAGGAGTGCCTAATTATGAGGGGCACAGGGGAGTGTTGCAGGGTAGGGAGGGGAGGAGACTGGGTTAGGGTCGGACATGGCGAATGGGGAATGAAACTAAATGTACGCGTGACTTTGAATGTAAAACAAGCTCTTAAAATAAAATAATAATAATAATAAAAAAGATGTTTGGTTATAACTAAGACGTTTTCATAACTTTGTCCCCTGTATGCTCTACTACACTCATGGACATATTTGCAGCACATATAAATACTTATGTAGAAATATCCTCGATCAAACCTGTCAACTCTATATATATTCCTGGATACAATCCCATTAGTTTTCCCATCCCTGTTCAGCTTGGGTGTCTACCTACATATCCACTGATAGATATTGTTATTACTATCATTGCAGGATTGTGTATGAAATAGTATTCACCTCTGTTGCCCTTAACTCTTGTGCACTTCCCTGGGTCTTCCACTGCCTTGATAACTTTGTGCTGACCTCTCCTTTATTTTATATTGCATTCCCCTTCACTCAAGTTAACAGGTGTCTACCCTCTGGTTAGTGATTTACCCTCCCTTCTCCTCCCATCTCAGGTAACCTTCAAAGAATGATTCTGTGTGTAAACCTTTTCTTGGCTTTTTTACAGTAGTGGTCTCATACAATATGTGTCCTTTTGTGATTGATTAGTTTCACTCAGCATAACGTCCTCTAGGTTTTTCCCTATTTTGAGGTGTTTCACAGATTCATCATTATTCTTACTGCACGGTATTCCATTGTTC